GTAAAGTCACGTAGAAGGAAAATAATAAAGTAATAAAAATAAAACAATTAAATTCTCACGACGTTTCGATTGCAACACAAGCAATCATCATCAGGTGTGAAAACCACAATTTTCTTGCTGTGGGTTTCACACCTGATGATGATTGCTTGTGTTGCAATCGAAACGTCGTGAGAATTGTATTGTTTTGTTTTCATTATTTTATTATTTCCCTTCTACGTGACTTTACCGAAAGAACCTAGAATTTGAATCCCTGCAGTCACGAAAGCTTTAAATCGAAAAAGACCCCAACATTCGTCAATGATGACCGATTCCATTCATAAAGTGCGCTCTTGCCGCCGTGTGCACTGAGTAGTGCTCAGTATTAAACACGCGTTGACTGCTCTATACAGGGTGGGATAGAGATCTCTACTCAACCCTGCAGGGTGACCCCTCTCATAGTGAAGGCGTTCACACTTGAGCTGCGGTTGTCCTGTGCCAGTAGTTGCATCATTAACCGTGTGAAATAATTTTCAAACCATTACTATGAAAATGCAAAATTTTGCAATAAGTTACTTTTCTTGGATTTAACAGAATTCCACAATAGCTCTCTCAATAGCTGTAGCGTTTGAGTTACGATCTTTCACATTTTTTGCGTTGTTAAATCGAATGACTCATTAAACGATAATTAAATGACTACTTAGTGTAGGACAATCATTGAATGTTAAACTAAACTCTGCAGTTTCATTTAATGCTGAGGGTGTTGACAAGCAAAGTAGCGGGTGCGTGGGGTTTAAATTGTCAACTCGTGCCCGCACTGCATCGTGTGGCGGGTTTCTGACAGGAGCAGCATCGCCACGACGCTCTCATTGGCGCTTGGTGAATATCCGTGGCGGGTTCCTTTTCGTTTTTTATTCGTTGAATGAGACGTGACCCTCCCTCACCTGGCCACCCACTTGTGTGTTTGTGTGCCTTCAGGTGTCACAGCAGAGCTATTGCAGAGGGATGCTGCGATTATCCTGGCGTGGGCTAAGCCTAGACAGCGGCCCTCTGTCAATCCACAGCGGAGGTAAGAGCCCCCCACTCTATGTCAGTAAATGGGGGGGTGGGGGGGTTTAATCATACTTCACCAGTACGAGTTGGTGTGAAGGGGAGGCAGCCCAAATATCTGTTCAGATGTCACTCAGCACCGACGTTAGCCGTGGCCGGGAATCGAACTTTGATGGCAGCTAAGGGCCGTGCCACCGCTTCACGGGTGAACGGGCTGTTAGATGAGACGATGGCGTTGCGTTTCATATCAGTGGCTACTCCTCCACGTGGCTGGGCGATTGAGAAACCACACCCACAGCAGTGCCCCAGTTACCGGCACCCCCCAGTGCTGGAGTCAACATTCTCTGGGCCCCGTTTTTCTCACACGCCGCCCTGGATTGGGCCCGGCAAGAAGCGCGTCGCCACCAAACGCGTTACGGTCAAAGTGTAAGCGGCAGGTTTATCTAACTTCATATTTGACGACTTCCTCTTCCAAGACCTCCTGGCCAGTGTGGAGGAGTAGGCCAATTACCCTCACAGGGGCTCTCTGCAGCTCCCTCTCGTGGAGGCCCCATTTGCCGGCAGTGGCGTGAACACCGCAGGGGCTGTACCTTTACCTTCTATCCACTTTTATATTCAACATTTAATTAGGTCAGCAAGGCGGTGTTGACCTCTTACCCACACACGTTTCTGACAAGTACAGCAGTGCACGTGTACACAAGTGTACTCCTGTGCTAGTTGCACGCCACTTCTGCTTTTTGTGTTTAGTTTGTTGTCGTTCCCCCACACCTCAGATTAGCACGGTTGGCTGTGTGTGGTGCTAAAGAAGTTAAACATACACACACGCGCATCCACACACACAAACACGTACACACCCATCAACACACAGACATACAAAGACAAACACCCCCCGTATAGCCAAACAGGCTGTTGGGGCAAGTGCTGTTAGCGAGCACACGCACATACACACATACATACACACATAAACACATACACACACACATTTAAACAAACACATACACACACACATCCACACCCATACACACATACACCCACACACAAAGACACATACACACACACACTGCGATGGCAAAGTAATAAATGAAGCGAGACCAGTTTTGTCACGACAAGTATATATTCATTTCAAGTGCAAATACAAAACGAGGTAGACAAAATCTCTGGAAAACATTAATCTTGCTTTCCCTTCCCACACTTTGAGCTGCTTTTGTACAAACGATAAAAACCCCGAGGAGACCGAATTGTCACCGATCTACATTCACGAGTTCAGAAACCGCTATTTCTGGAGGTATCGTGGATGATGGAAATAAAGTGCTTGGCGAAGTTCATCATTTATCCATACATTTCACGTGGTAACGGCTTGGCGCTACGGTTAGTGTGTCCATTGAAATGTGCACGCCCCGTACATAAAAAAGTAACAGATATGTAGTTTAAAAAATGCCGACGTATTCACAGTTCAATAAATAAATACTTTGCAACAGCGGTTACTTTTTTTAATCCCCGAGACAACGCAAAATAAAGCCCCGCATTTTACATGAACAGAGACAAGAACCGTACGGGAATACCTTGCACGACCTCACTGAGACCGCACTCCGGCCTCGCGTTGCGGAGGATGCAATCTCGGTCTTCATTTGTAATGGGACAGTTCATTTTGCGGTCACCATCACAATGACGTTCCTGGTGCCAACTCTCTTGACGATTGGCCAGGGAATAAACATCAACCCCAAGACATAATGGGTTGGTGCCGCCTGCATGGATCTTGGCTCCTGTTTCCCAGAATGGCTGGCGTGATTTTAAGCACTTTCGTGCTGGGTGTTTCAAGTCTTCGTGGATTAAAACTTGATTTGAAGCTTTCGTGATTGCATGAATTACTCTTTGGTTATAGTAGGTTTTTACCCTTTAAACTGGTACAAAACTGACACCTTTATACAAGGCATCATGTTTGCAATAACCACAACACAAGCAGTCAAAATGCAAATAAAAAGAAACAACTTTGATAATGATATGCACTGTCCTTGAAGTTGATTGGTCCACACCCGAGACAGTTTTCTTAGAGCCTAGTCTCCATTGGTGTTGGACCAGAAGACGCCAAAAGGCGTACAACTCAAAAACAGCACACTATCAGAGTATTGAGAGCTCGGGGTAAGCATTTACACTATGAGACCTCCTTTGCCACTGGTAAAGGAGGTCTCATAGTGTAAATACTCTTTGGTTCTTTCGGTAAAGTCACGTAGAAAATAAATAAATTAAATAATAGAATACGACGTTTCGATTGCAACACAAGCAATCGTCATCAGGTAGAAAGCAAACCTAGTGAACTTAAAAATATTTTCTTTCTTCGTGGATTGTGAGGTCAGAGTTGCTTTAAATGTTTTCTATCTCGTCGGACGGCTGTCAGCATTGGACGGGCGTGCATGAGGCCTTGAGCTAGTGATTGCAGCTCTTTATTGTGTTGAGAATGTGGTCGTCGAGTGAGAATGTCGAGTCTAAGGTGATTCCAATGATGTTCAAGTGATTTCAGAGGCTGGTGGTGGAGCCGGCGATGAATACATTTTAGGGGGCGGGCGACGCCATGGTGAGCCTCTACCTGGTGCCTTCGTAAAATGTCTCTCAAAATTAGTTTGATCTTGAGGGGAAGCAAAGGTTAGACACGTGATCATGGATTTTAACCAGCGACTTATCTTGGTGGGGCGAGTGCCAGTTGTTACACCGGTGGTGGCTGCTGTGCGACCAGAGTGGCGGTGGCTGTGGTGGGACTGGTGGCGGTGGCTGCTGTTGGACTGGCTGCTGTTGGACTGGCTGCTGTGGGACTGGCTGCTGTTGGACTGGCTGCTGTTGGACTGGCTGCTGTGGGACACGCGGTGGCAGCAGCTGCTGTGGTGCTGACGGCGGCTTCTATGAGACCTGCGGCGGTGGTGGTGGTGGCTGCTGTAGGACTGGCGGTGGTTGCTGGTGGAATGGCAGCGGCTGCTGTGAGATCGGGGTGGTGGTGGTGGCTGCTCTGGGACTAGCGGCAACGGCTGTTGCGTGTCTGGCGTTGCCGGTAGCTGCTGCTGCTGCTGTTCCTGCCGTCGCACTTGCAGTGGCTCCGGCAGTTGTTCCCGTTGGGGCGGTCCGACATCTTGGGTTTCTGGAGATAAAGAAGATGATGGCGCTAAAGTCCAAACCGCTCGACATTGGGAGAATGAAACAAAACCGGTCTAAAGTATAAACAAGAAGATCGCTGTACTTCACCATTCCCTTAATATTAAATGATGCGCTGTCAGGGTGTACATTCTCCCTGGGCATTTCCACGCACACAGGACGGCGTTTCCAATCCATCCTTTACCTTGCGCGCCGGTGAGGAGAGCTGCTGTCCGGTAACTGGGTCCGGGGTCTTCCTTCGCCGAGTGGGGCCGCTTAAGGCACGACCAGGACGTCGCCTTGACGTGCTCCAGCGGGCAGTAGCTCTCCGCTGGCGGCGCGTTCAATTCTGGGGACCTGCATGCACGCACCAACGCGTCGCAAACCGTTAACACCTGCCTTTAAAGGAGACACTGCTGCTCGCACAAGACAATATCTTTCCAGTGAGCTGGTCTGGGGGACGGTTGTAAGTGCAGGTTAAAGTGGAGGGGAGAGAATGTGACTTACCGAATATAGAAGAGCACGTAGGCCTGCTTATTCATCACAGCCTTGGTGTCGACATGCCGCACGTTGGAGTCGTTCATGCAGCACCATTGTCCATCGCTGATCTGCGCACAGTCAAAGCACAGCTACACTTGGTTACAATGTTTACACAACTGCACCCAGATTCCTCCGTTGATGTAATAACAACACGCAATACACACTCTAGACAACAAGTTCGTAAAGAGCATCACCCCTTTGTCAGAGCGTGCTACGGTTGCTGTGATGGTGCTGAAGTTACGAAACGATCTGCCTGAATATATCACTGCATGGATGACCTTGGACCAATTTCATCAGAATCAGAATCTTTATTTGTACTGAAAGAATTCGATGATCTACGAAGTTCTTAAACAAATGTCCAGTCGGGGCGGGTCAGAAAGTTACAACAACAACAAACAATACAACACCGATTGGAGTGCAAAGTGTAGAAATGCTATGGAAGTCACTAAATACAAATAAAGTATACACTTTAAGTAGAAATTGCATGAGTGCATCAAGACGCAAGAACATACACAAGACTTTTAATTATTCTTCCCTATCGGACATTGGTAACATTATGGGCGCATTGCAGATGTGCGTTGTTTTTGTTTGATAGTAACGAATGGAATTACCTTATTGTAGCAATAATAATGACCCCTGTTGGAGTTGGCTCCCTTGTGCACCAGCACCGAGTACAGGGAGTAGATCGCGGGCTCGCCCTGAGACGTTGAGGTGAAGGGTTGCATGTCCAGGTGCTCCGGGTAGGTGATGTTCTACAGGCAGCGCACAGGAGGGGGAGGCAGTGCACAGAGACAAATGTTAGGAGAGGAAACGGCAGGGGTGGTGGGGTGGGCAGCAGAGATGGGCACCATCTAAGTTACACGTCAAAGTGACGTGATGTCTCGCTAATTTGAGCGTTGAAGACGGTGCTCATCTCCTGTTCATAGCCCTGAGCAAGTGGTGGAAATTCTACAGTCACATGACGGGGGGCGAGTCTATCTGTCGGACCTATTCCAACATGGAGAGGCATTTTCTCCAGCGTTGAACTGACAAAGGGCTGTCATTAAGTAATTTAATTCGAACGATGTGGAGGGGCAGAATCGTTACCCGGTTGATCTTGACGCCGTAGAGGTTGTACCGCTTGATGGAGACGGTGAGGACGTTGGGCAGGCGGTGGAGAGCCATCGTCTTCGTCGCTTCCCCCTTGCAGCAGCACCTGCACGACAACAACAACGCCAGCCATCGCACGCGTTACCCAACTTTAAACAATAAGTCTACTCTCTTTTTGTTGTTTGTTAATTTTTCTTAATTTCTTAAAATAAAAAATTGTTACTTTTATTATATATTGTAAGTTATTTTCAATGTATTTACATAAAATTTTATTCAAATATTTTATTATAATTTGATTTAATCTGCAGACTTTTGAAGCTACAAATGATTCCAGGGTGTCAACACACGATGCCCAACTCACATTCCGCAGGTGTATTCGTCCAGCGTCTCCTTGTTAAAAAACTCTTCAAATGCCTCCACAAGATCTGATGAGTTCTGTTGGTCGACAGAGTGAAACGCAAATGAGGACTCTAAGAAGCATTCCATGAACATCTGCAGAATGTTATTGTGACGGTAATTCTGAAAACCCGCATCTTGTATGAAATCGTACGACCAAAAAAAGAGATCACGTACGCTACCGGCAGTGTGTTTGGATGTTAAGTGGCTGATTCAGGTAGGCGTGTGTGTGGTGGATGTTGGCACAGCAGGGAGCACAGGTGGTGCATCGGCCAGTCATCTCGGTCAACCCATGGCACCTGGGTCTGTCCCGTGACCTGCCAGCGGGCGTTCGACACTTCATATGGCCTTAAAGTGCACTCAGGCTGGCACAAGCACCGTGGTGACATCACCACCACTTAGTGGCGAATGGGGGTTGTTGTTCACGTATGCGATGTATGTACGTTTAACTTATTTCGCACCGTACGTAGATCTATAACTGTTAATCGATGGCTTCGTCATTGCTTACATTAATATGGAGTGCAATGTCCAGGCACGTGTCAAAGGTGTCGGAGTGGTTGCAGCACTGCATGCACTCCACTGCAAAACACAAGCACACACGCATTAGGAAGGGACGTCACATGTTACTTAGTAAAACTAAATGCACGCTCCCCACTGACATTGGTAATTGGTAGTTTTCACCAACTGGTAAAAGGTTATTCTGTGTTGCACGTGCGTGAGAGTGTGCAAACGCTGCGACGCGAGCACGTCTACACTGTGATGGTGCACTTGCTGCTCGCGGTGAACAAGTTTCTAGAGGAGTGCGCACAACTCACCACGTGATCGAAGGTAACCCCCGAAGATCTGGTAAATGAGGGTGGTAGCCTCCGTGTATCTGTCCAGCCTGCCAGTCACAGAGAACGACACCACACGGTGGTTACAGCAGCAGCAGTAGTAACACCTTTACCGGATGCACACACGTGTGTGAGAGTTGCACCATTGCCCGAGCTGTCGATTCACTCTTTCCCTTCAGCACTGCAACGCGTGCTCTGTAGCAACCAAACGTGGTCGCGTCTGCACAGGGCAGCCACCTTCACGGAACAGCCACAGAGCTGGGGGAAAGCTGGCAGCCATCACGCGGTGCTGTTGCCCGGCGCTTTTGTTGTGCTCGGCGTGCCACGTGCCGCTCGTCAACACGAGGAATGTCGTCACGGGGACACCGCACATCGAGACATCAATTTCCCGATATTTATCGGCAATGTGAAATGCACAAACAAAAGATGGCCCACGTCAGGGCCAAGGTGAAAGAACCGTGGTGTCAGCAGGGCCGGTCCTCTGCATCTCCCAGGTGTTCACACAAAAGTGTGAGTAGCTTTTCACAGACGTTGAAGTACAATCGTGCAGAAAACCGAGAGGAAGCCGTGAGGTACCAAACTGCAGAACGACTGCCGCATGTTGACTGGCGCGCAGTACTCACTCGCTGTGGCCATAGAGGCATGAGGCTTGCATGCCATCTACCACGTATCGCAGAAACTCGTGGGCATCTTCCTGTCTCCCAATGCGCAGGTGTTTGGCAATGCCTGCAGAGAAATGGACATGGGGACAAAGTGACAGGTACAGGATCTGATGACATCCTTAAAGAGCTCCCCAACATATATGGCAAAAGGAGTGGTGCAAAGGACTTGGAACACAGATGGAGAAAGATCGCGGGGGATAACTTCTCCTGCGAGTGCAAGTGTGAACGTAGTATTGGGACTCACGTGTGATGTTCTTAGTTATGACCTTGGGTGTCAGCACTCTCTGCGAGTTGTTGAACGTGCTGACAATGTGATGCTCCATGACACACATCAGGCAAAAGTCGCTTTGTTGGCCTGCGAACGAGAGCACAGGTGGCACAATCCGTCAGCGCACGCCACTTGCACTCAGCCCAGCTGGGGAGTAACAAGAAAGGCTAGAATCCTGGCACCAGCAACAATCGCAATGAATGTTGCGTCTAAGTACCAATTGCATCACATCTGTCCGACCTATTAAAAATTATCGCCACATGTGCTCGTGTTTATCAAAATCATAATATTTATACTGGTGGAATCCGATAAGCTAAGAGGTTTTGTTTAAAAAATGTCGAGTAGGGGCACTGGGTCAGAACATTACAACACCAAACAATACAAAAAACGATCAGAGTACAAAGTATTGGAAAGGTAAACAAATCACCTTTTAAAAATCTACAAATAAAACTAAACTTTTTTTTCATCTTCCCAGATAAAGCCCACTGAGCTATTAGCTTCTTCAGAAGCGACCTGGACCACAAATGATAGCTCAACGAAGTGGCTTATCACGTGGGAAATGTATCGCAGCAAAATAACTGACATAATAACCTAACCCATGGGTAAACGAGAGTGCCAGGGGGGAGGGTACTTACAGGTGCTGCAGTGCTCTTGCAGCAGCAGGTAGTTGGCGAGCGGCGGCGTGTAGGCGAGGCACTGCAGCGTGGCGTTGAGGAAGCAGGTGTTCCCCAGGTTGCGCAGGCCGGCACCCTTGCAGACGTCGCTCTCCCACCGGAGGTTCAGCCGCTCCGGTGCAAACAACGAGAGCCGTGCCGCCGGAATGCCGTCGTCCTCCTCTGCACAAAGGGTCGGAAGCCGGTGTCATCGCAGAGCGCTGCACTGCCGATGGGGCTGGCGTGGATATTCAGTAGCCCCAGCCAGCACCCGTACTGCTACTCTTAACCACGAAGATTTTGCTCCACATTTAAGTGTCAGGTTCAAGTTCGCGAAAAATATAATTTGCCTGTCGCGTTGGCTGCTGGGTGTTTTGAGCTCCCCGTGTTACTCGTGAACGGCAACAGCAGTGGCTCCAAAGCGGCCCTTGCGTTGGTGGCTGCCACCCTAATGAGATGCCACGACGTCGCGTGATTGCACACTCACCTTGGGGTGCAGGCACAGACACGCTGATGTTCTCTGTGGCTGGTACAGGGGAGGGCTCCGGCCGGCCATGGGGAAGGCAGCAGGGTTGCGTGCAGAGCCACTCGTCGGCCGCCACCAGCACCTCGTTGGACGAGGTGGGGGCCAAGACCGTGAGGTCGTTGCCGGACGAGGTGCCCTCTGCTCCGCACGCCACAGTCGTGGTTGGGTCCTGCCACACAACGTAGTCAAAACATCCACAATTGTTCCTCCCATCTGGACTGGGATCCCAACACACGCGGGACTGTTTTATCACCAAAAGAAATACAATTTTAGTCCATGAACCTATGGGCGATCTGCATGAATTGTCTCAGAAGCAAAAATATATTTACAGTATACACCTGTATTTTTAAAGTAACCCCAAACTCACTTTAACTCGTAAAATATTATATGAAGAACGGCCATTTACTAAAGATGAACTAATTCAATTTGTTGTTATGCATGCGAGAGAGAAGGCAGCTGTAGTTTAAAAGAGGTCATAAATGCATTTCAGAAGATAAATCGAGCATTCATGTTAATCAAATTAATTTTTAACATTTGTTAAAATTAAACTAAATAATCATCCGTGATTTGTTCAAATAAATACACTAATCCTGATTTTTCGGCCACCCTCTTACAAACGACGTCATGAAGGGCCAACTGTGATGTGCTCTGAAAAAGGGGCATTAACTGAAACGTCGCTTTTATATATTTAAGAATACTTTATATATGTAAAACACGTTTTTATCAAAGTCAGAATATTTATACGGGAGGAATCCGATGAGCTATAAAGCTCTTTTTCACAGATGTCCAGTCGGGGCGGGTAAGAATGTTACAACAACGAACAACACAAACATCATAGGAGTGCAAAATACAAGTTGGCCCAAAAGTTAAGACACAGGGTTACTTAATTTATCTTAACACTGACATTACATAGTTCTCATTATTTGTTCTTAAAGTTAACAATTTAACTATCATTAATTTTGATAACATCCTCTGTGACTAGTTCAAATAAATACGGTAACTCTGTGTCCTGACTTTTGGGGCAATTTTATATAGGCGACGTTATGTAATTGATGTGATGTGCTCTGCAGAAGGGCCATTATCTGAAACGTCGCCTATCATTTTCCTGTAACAATTCCCCCCACTCGTGCACTCCCAGCGTTGTGATTGGCTGAGTGGCACCAGCGGGCCCCGCCCCGCCCGCCACCCAGGGCCCCGCCCCCTCACCTGAGGCTCCGCCCCCAGACGCGGCCCCGCCGCCGCCTGCGCGGCTCCCGTCAGCTCCGGCACGGCGACCCGCGCCGCGCCTCGGGCTTCATCCGGGGAGGGGGTCCCGGGCACAGCCCCGCGGGATCCCTCGCGGGGGTCATCATCTGCAAGAAGGAGGAGCACAGCGATCACATTTTGTACTTCGGACAAACACACGGCTCTACATTTCCCACGAAAGTTTAACATGGCACTGTTCAGTAGCCCCAGCCAGCAGCACCCGTGCTGCTACTCTTAACCAGAAAGATGTTGCTCCACATTAAAGTTTAAATCTCAAGGTAGCGAAAAATGTGATGCGCCTGTCACGTTGACTGATAGGTGTTTTGAGCTCCTCGTGTTACTCGTGAACGGCAACAGCAGTGGCTCCAAAGCGGCCCATGCATTGGTGGCCGCCACCCTAACGAGAGGCCACGAGGTCGCGTGGTCGCACGCTCACCTTGGGGTGCAGGCAGCACAGACACGCTGATGTTTTCTCGTGCTGTGGCTGGCACCGGGGAGGGTTCCGGCAGGCCATGGGGAAGGCAGCTGGGTTGGGAGCAGAGCCTCTCGTCTGCCGCCGCCAGCACCTCGTTGGACGAGGTGGGGGCCAAGACCGTGAGGTCGTTGCCGGACGAGGTGCCCTCTGCTCCACACGCCACAGTCGTGGTTGGGTCCTGCCACACAACGTAGTCAAAACATCGACAATTGCTCCTCCCATCTTGACTTGGATCCCAACACACGTGGGACTATTTTATCACCAAAAGAAATACAATTTTAGTCCACGACCCGATGGACAACCTGCATCAAATGTCTCAAATATATAAACATAATCTATTTTTAAAGGAACCCCAAGCTCACTTTAACTCGCCAAATAGTCTATGAAGAAGGGGCCATTGACTAAAGACGAACGATTTCAGTTCGTCGTTACGTATGCAAAAGAAGGAAGCTGTAAACTTTTTAAAGATATTAACTTAATTTCAAAAGATAATTCGTGCATTAATCTTGAACTAAATAACAATCTGTTATTTGTTAACACAATTATAACCCGATGTGTCCTGATTTTTGGGCCAGCCTCTTATTAGCGACGTCATGAAGGACTAACTGTGACGTGCTCTGAAGCAGGGCCAGTGCCTGAAACGTCACCTGTTATATATTTAATCATACAGTATATATTTCGATTTAAAGCTTTCGTGACTGCAGGGATTCATCTTTTTGGTTCTTTACATTAATTACAGATAATAATAATAATAATGTGTAATTAATGTATACTGTATGGTAAAGTCACGTAGAAGGGAAGTAATAAAATAATAAAAATAAAACATAAAATAATTCTCACGACGTTTCGGCCACAACGCAAGCAGCCGTCCTCAGGTGAAGAACAGGTCTGTCGAGAAGACAGAGTCTGAATGACAACCCCAGGCTTGGAGCGTCTTTTTAAGCTGGGTTGGAGGGGGGGAAGAGCGCCTTGACAAAATAGTTTGCATATCAAGAGGAATTAAGCATATATATAAGCTGGGTTGGAGGTGGAAGAAGAGCGCCTTGACATTCCCTCCCTTTGTTAATGCTACCCCCTACCCGCTCCTTTTGATGCTGCTAATCCTGCATAATGCACGGGCATAATATGACTTTGAAACCCCCCAGCCCACCTCCTACGCATAAATATGCTAAATTCCTCTTGATATGCAAATTATTTTGTCAAGGCGCTCTTACCCCCCTCCAACCCAGCTTAAAAAGACGCTCCAAGCCTGGGGTTGTCATTCAGACTCTGTCTTCTCGACAGACCTGTTCTTCACCTGAGGACGGCTGCTTGCGTTGTGGCTGAAACGTCGTGAGAATTATTTTATTATGTTTTATTATTTTATTACTTCCCTTCTACGTGACTTTACCATACAGTATACATTAATTACACATTATTATACAGGTTGGCCCAAAAGTTAAGACACGGGGTTATTTAATTTATCTTGGCACTTACATTACAACGTTTTCATTATTTATTTTAAAAGTTAACTTTATTCTCAAAGTTTCGGTGACATGTGCCTAACGCCGGACACTCTGCATGCTGCGTGTAACACTGACTCGGCTCGGTGGAGTTCCATGCAATTCTCAAGATTTTTTTTTTTTCTTCGAAGGCTTAGATTAAAATTGTGACTAATCATTCGTTTGTTGTGAGAAGAAAAGTCAATGTTCTCCCAAAATATCCCCTGTGTTTGTATTTTATCTTTGCGTTTTGACACCCTCTATTACTGAATAATAAATAAACTATTCAGTTAATTTGTGCGTGATAATAGTTTTTTTTTACTTCGAATAGAAATTGAAATAAAGGAGCAGAATCTGCTTTGAATTTGAACTCAGTGCAGTTTCACTTTGATGACTTTTGCTCGCACTTACGGTGAACATTTGTTAAAATGAGTGAACACCGACCTTTCCCCTTGCGATCAATAATCAATATTCACTTTTTTAAAATTCACATCAATTCAGAATCCAGTAAGTTATTGTAACTGAACAGGGGCGTCCACCCCTTCATGAAGTTGAACCAGGCGGCCGCCTGGGCCCCAAGTTAAGTGGGGCGCCAAAAATTCGAGCAAAACACATTCCTGCGGAGGGAGCTGGTAGTAACGGTCAATGGCCAGGGTCAACGGCGGCGTGGTGTATTCCGCAAATATGCCCGACTGTGAGGGCAGGCACAAGCCGGTGTGAGTAGGTTAAACGTTGATACAGGTTGGAACAACAGGTTCCACACTGCCCACCAGGGATTATTTGTCTGTCGTGCATCAGAATGCAGCCCACCCATGCCCCCCCCCCCCACCGACCGCCGAGCAAGGCCACGATTGGTTGAGGATGTCGGGGAGGGTGGGGGGAAGGTAAACACGCCCAATCATCCAACTTCCCTCCCCCCCCCAAAACGCCGAGCGGGGCGGCCACTGGTATAGGTGGGGTGTAAACACGCCCACTCATGCAATCCCCTCCTTACAGAACACCGAGCAACGCCGCGATTGGTTGACGATGTCGGGGAGGGTGGGGGGGAAGGGTAAACATGCCCACTCATCCAACTGCCCCCCCCCCGAACGCCACGCTGAGTGTGAAAGTGTGTGTGTGTGAGTCTGAGAGTGTGAAAGTAAGTGTTTGTTTGAGTCTGAGAGTGTGAGAGTGTGTGTCTGTTAGTCTAAGTGTGAGAGTGAGTGTATGTGTGTGTGAGTCTGAGAATGTGAGAGTGAGTCTGAGAGTGTAAGGGTGAGTGTGTGTGTGAGTCTGAGAGTGTGAGTGTGTGAGTCTGAGAGTGTGAGATGTCAGTGTCTGTGTGCGTTTGAGCGTGAGTGTATGTGTGTGTGAATTTGAGACTGTGAGAGTGAGTGTGTGTGAGTCTGAGAGTGTGAGAGTGTGTGTGAGTTTGAGAGTGTGAGAGTGAGTGTATGTGTGTGTGAGTCTTAGTTACCTAGAGTGTTATACAGGTAGGAACAACAGGTTCCACACTGCCCACCAGGGATTATTTGTCTGTCTGTCGTGCATATCCGGAATTCTGCCCACCCATGCATCTCCCCTAGGCCTCAGCAAGGTAAGGTAAAAGTTAAAAAGTAAAAACAACGAGCCTACCTTTACCCTACCTTTTACCTTACCACAATACAATTACTCTACCCTTACCTTTTACCCTTTAGCAGGTAAGGTAAAAGCAAGAGCCTACCATTTACCCTTACCCCATACAAATTACCCGATTACAGGGTAATTACTAGGGTACTACACATGAAAAAGGTTTATAACGGTAAATGCTAGATAGCGCGCTTTATTCATATAGAGTACTCTCGATGATTCCAATTTTACACGCTTGTTGTCATTGTTGTCGTTGTCGTCGTTGTCATCGCTGTCGTATCCTCAAATCTTGTAACTCAATTTTAACCCACTTCCTAATGTGGTATCGACTGCACACTTGGTATACTTATGGCATACTGATAACAGTACTATATTCTATCGGGGCCACTTCCTGGAGTCGTGGAGTTATGTTATTACTCGTAGATTTAATGAAAGCGTGTTTAAAAAAAAGTATTTTTAATATTACTTATTAAATGGAGGCCATGGACTGCTCCACGGAGCTTTTAGCGGTAAACAAGGTACCGTATTTACCGGGTAATACTTCGCGCTACCTTTACCCTACCGGGTAATTCTTCCGAGCTACCTTTACCCTACCCTTGACCTTACCCCTTGGCATGTTGACACCTTTACTCTTTTACCCGGTAAAAAGGGTAAATTACCTTACCTTGCTGAGGCCTACTCCCCACCGAACACCGAGCTACGCCGCGAATTGGTTGGCGATGTCGGGGAGGGTGGGGGGGAAGGGTAAACACGCCCACTCATCCAACTGCCCCCCCCCCTGATCGACGCGCTGTCCAACCAAGTTCCTACCTGCCCACTCCGAAGGAACGTGTTAGGGCACCACGGGGTGAGCAGCCCCTCCCCACCCAGCCCCACCCCTCCCACCCCCTACCCTCCCCACCTAGCCCCACCCTCGCCACCCAGCCCCACCCTCCCCACCCAGCTCCTCCCTGCACGACGGACGGACAAAATAATCCCCTGTGGGCTGGTGTAACCAGGAGGTTACTACCAGTAAAAATACAAATAAAATAACGACGATGTCATTATTTCAATTCCTGTGCGCATACAGCGGGAATATGAATTATAATTCACTTCTCAACATTCCTGAGAATGTAAAACATTAAGTTATCATCATACCTAAAATCGGAGGCAAAATGTTTCCCAGTTTACCAGAAACCTCAGCCTGGATCTGCCCTTGGGGTTTGGGGGTGGGGCCGCCCATTGGGTGGTTGGCCGAGGGCGTTGCCAGTTGCTGGCAGCAGCTGCTCTAGGGCCGCTCCTCTCACTGAGTGCAAATTCATTTTGGTAAAAGCGATTTTCTGCTCACGTTTTGAGCGAAAACTGGTGAACACAACGACGCGTCCTTCCGGGTTATAAACAGCTCATTTTTTAGTATTCACATCAATAGGGAATCCAGTAAGTCAATACATAATAATAATAATGTAATAATTACCACAACAATTGCGCATTTGCAACAAACATAATCAATAACCGCGTGTTTACATTGTTTCATTCACTCTCACAGGTGAGAAAAAAATAAAAGTTTGCAAAACTAATTTTCGATTGAAACTTTTCGTTTACTTTCTTCCCGACAGAAAGGAAACTCCAACAGCTATTAGAATGATGAAGGTGATTTACAATTTTTCATTCTTTATTTGCAGGTTTGTTATACATTACTCTCGGAGAAGCGAAAATTACATTCGGTACGTCACATTCCGTAATTTTGAGTTCATTCAGATGAATCCAGAAGAGTCGCAGACGAAAGAAGACGTCGATTAAACGGAGGAAGACGGCAGAGGATGGCGTCATCGACAAAGTCACAACACAGTGGATCGTTTACGACGTGAAAATACCCGTCACGTGACGGGCAATTACGCGAATGCTCCTCACCAGGACTAAAGCGGGAAGTTATTTTTCCCCAATTACATTCCTTAAATAATGATCAAATAGAGCAAGTCAAGATCTATAAGTATCTTGGGGTCATCCTTGATTCAAAACTGAATTTTGAAGATCACATTGATTATATTGGTAAAAAGACAGAAATAGGTTTTCTGTATCGACACAAGCACTGCTTCCCCCCTATGTTCCGTTTGGAATTGATAAAAGCTACCGTACTGTCTCTACTTGATTACTGTGACAGCGTGTATAAATCAGCCCCAAGTACTGCACTGAAGAAGCTTGACTCAATGTATCACCCGGCCTTAAGATTTGCACTGAACTGCCCATATAGGACTCACCACTGTGATCTCTACATTGGGTCAAACTTAACATCTCTTAATGTTCGACGGCTTGTGCACCAGATCTTTTTGATTCATAATGTACTTACAAAAAAATCCGCAGATTATCTGCGGGATCTCCTCTCAGTTTCAAAGAACAAATTTGACCTAAGGTCTTCGCTCATTTACCAACTTCAGATTCCCTATTGCCGTACAAATACTGGAGGAAGGGCCTTTTCTATTGATGCCCCCAGGGTCTGGAATGCTATTGCCAATAAACTGCAACTTGAATCACTACCTATGATATCTTCACTCAAAACTGCTCTAGAGGAGATGTACACCCCGAGCTGCCACTGCTATTTAGTGGCCTAAAATAAAATGTTTCACTCCGGACTTGCATCCCACTGGGATTTTTGCACACAGCGTTGGTGTACGGTGCTTTTTCTGCAATGTTTTGCCGTCTTTTCTTGGATTTTCTGTTTGCAAATAGTCACATAGTCACTTTAAGATGTTTTCTTGTTCATGTTTTTTTGTTTGTTGTGGTTGCACCCGATTCAAGAGCCGAATGGCTCACAGGGCTATACCTAATAAATGAACTTGAACTTGATGTTATTATTAATATCTATTTTTCTTCTTCATTTTCAGATGACATTGAAATAATGGACAGGAAATTGACCAGAGACGAACGAGTTTGATTGTCATTCGTATGCAAAAGAAGGCAGCTGTGATTGCTCATTCGTACATCGTGCATCAATGTAAACAGAAGTCAGTTTTAACATTTGTTAAAACAAACAACATAATGCTTTGTTACCTGTTAAAATAAAAATGATGACACTATGTGGCATGACTTTTGGGCTACCCTCTATAGGTGACGTTATGAAGGGCCAATTGTGATGTGCTTTGCAGAAAGGCCATTGCCTGAAACGTCGCTTTTTTATATATAACCACACATTATATATTTATTACACATTATTATCGGAATCAGAATAGATATTTAGACTGGAGGAATCCGATGAGTTATAAAGCTCTTTCGTATAGGTGTCCAGTTGGGGCAGGTAGAATGTTACAACAACGAACAATATCAACACATGATAGGAGTGCAAAATACAGGTTGGCCCAAAAGTTTCATTCATCGTGCCACTGAAATTGCAACGTTTTAATCATTTAGTCTAAAAGTTAACATTTTTTTGTTATTATAATTAATACCATGACAAAACAATCCTCTGTGATTTGTTTAAATAAATCAATAAGATCTGTGTGTCCTAACTTGTGGGCCACCCTCTATCGGCGACGGTATGAAAGGGCAAACAACTGTGATGTGCTCTGCAGACGGACCATTGCCTGAAACGTCACCTATCATTATCCAATACCCACCCCAGTGTACTCCCAGCGTTGTGGTTGGTTTAGCGGCCCCGCCGCCGCCTGCGCGGCTCCCGTCAGCTCCGGCACGGCGACCCGCGCCGTGCCTCGGGCTTCATCCGGGGAGGGGGTCCCGGGCACAGCCCCGCGGGATCCCTCGGGGGTGTCGCCATCTGCAAGAAGGAAGAAGCACAGCGATCACATTTCGTACTTCTGGGTCTACATTTCCCATTATAGATAAAACATGGCCCCAGCCAGCACCCGTGGTGCCACCATTAACCAGAAAGATTTTGCTCCACATTGAAGTATGAAGCTCAAATTCGAGAATAATGTGATAGTGCCTGTCACGTTGGCTGATAGGGTATTTAAGCTCCCCGTGTTACTCATGATGGGCAACAGCAGTGGCTCCAAAGTGGCCCTTGCTGTTGGTGGCTGCCACCCGTAACGAGAAGGTCACGAGGTCGCGTGGTCGCACACTCACCTTGGGGTGCAGGCAGCACAGACACGCTGATGTTATCGCGTGCTGTAGCTGGCACCAGGGAGGGTTCAGGCCGGCCATGGGGAAGGCAGCTGGGTTGCATGCAGAGCATCTCGTCGGCCGCCACCAGCACCTCGTTGGACGAGGTGGGGGCCAAGACCGTGAGGTCGTTACCGGACGAGGTGCCCTCTGCTCCAGCTGCCACAGTCATGGTTGGGCCCTGCCACAGCAACAGCAGTCAACACATCCACAATTAATCCTCCCATCCGGACTGGCATCCCAACACACGTGAGACTGAATTATCTCCAAAATGAATCAAATTAAGTCCATGAACCGATAAGTGATCTGCATTAAATGTCTCTGAAATATATATAGACGATTGATTTTTAGAGGAACCCCAAACTGACAAAATATTCAAAGAAGTTGCCATTGACTAAAGACGAACGAGTTCAGTTCGTTGTTATGCATGCAAAAAAGGTAGCTGTAATTTAAAAAAGGTGCTAAATGCATTTCAAAATGGTAATGGATATCAGTTTTAACATTTGTTGAAAATAAACTCAATGACCTCTTGTGATTTGTTAAGATAAATACAATAACTTTGCGTGTCCTGACTTTTGGGCCACCCTCTACAGGCCACGTTATAAAAGGGTTTAACAACTGTTGACGTGCTCTGCACAAGGACCATTGCCCGAAACGTCGCCGATCATTTTCCTGTAACAATTCCCCCCACTCGTGCACTCCCAGCGTTGTGATTGGCTGAGTGGCGCCAGCGGGCCCCGCCCCGCCTGCCACCCGGGGCCCCGCCCCCTCACCTGAGGCTCCGCCCCCAGACGCGGCCCCGCCGCCGCCTGCGCGGCTCCCGTCAGCTCCGGCACGGCGACCCGCGCCGCGCCTCGGGCTTCATCCGGGGAGGGGGTCCCGGGCACAGCCCCGCGGGATCCCTCGCGGGGGTCGCCAACTGCAAGAAGAAGCAGAAGCACAGCGATCACATGTTACACTGCGGACAAACACACGGCTCTACATTTCCCACTGGAGACAGACATGGGCCTGTCGATCGCTTCTGAAGAACTAAATTGCTCAGTGGGCTTCACCTGGTTTAATACAAAAGAGTGGAGCTCATTTCGTTTTCGGGATTAACTTACTTTTCTCATACTTTTCACTTGTTGTTATTGGTGTAATTTCTTGAAATCGTTTAAAAGAGCTTTATAGCTCATCGGATTTATCCACGATTAATAAAGTTCATGATTTTGAATTGGTGAGTGACGGTTGGTCACTCACGGGGGTCCTTTGCCCCCCCCCCGTGAGTGACGGTTGGTCACTCACGGGGGTCCTTTGCCCTCCCCCCCCATTGCCCCTTCCCCGTGTGACGGTTGGTCGCTCAGGGGGTCCTTTGCCCCCCCCCCCCATTGCCCCCCCCCCCCCGTGTGACGGTTGGTCACTCACGGGGGTCCTTTGCCCTCCCCCCCATTGCCCCCCCCCGTGTGACGGTTGGTCACTCACGGGGGTCCTTTGCCCCCCCCCCGTGAGTGACGGTTGGTCACTCACGGGGGTCCTTGCCCCCCCCCCCATTGCCCCTTCCCGTGTGACGGTTGGTCACTCACGGGGGTCCTTTGCCCCCCCCCCCGTGAGTGACGGTTGGTCGCTCAGGGGGTCCTTTGCCCCCCCCCCCCCGTGTGACGGTTGGTCGCTCAGGGGGTCCTTTGCCCCCCCCCCGTTGCCCCTTCCCCGTGAGTGACGGTTGTCAACGCGACCGCTTGAACCCCGACACGAATCACGGCCTACAACGACCACTTGGCCCAACCCCAAACCCCACACGCAGAGCGATCTTTACAAGTTGCTGCTGGTTGCTGGCCGCTCGGCGTTTCGAGCCCTTTGAGTGACTATTTATCGCGAGATTGGTTATTTAAAGCGACCAACACGCAATTAAACCATACGGGTGGTGCTGCTGCTGCTGCTGCGTGGGCAGTGGTGAACAGGTTGCACCAGAACACAACCACTCAGCACGATCCGTGTCGATAGCGACACTGCGGCCTCCACAGGTGCAGGTGCACGTGGGTCATGGCCCCACTTCAACAGCGCCATCTATTGTGTCTGTTTCCCTTCGCAGCAGAGCTGTTGACGTGCTGTCGACTTATTGTCACGTCGTCTTCTGACCAAATATGGACGAATAAATACTTTAACGATCTTTTTACCTCATCTATATACAAAAACGGTACATTATTGAATGTGTCTGTTCGAAATGTTTAACATACTTCCCAACATGCAACAAACTTGATATTTGGCATGTGGGTAACTTCCAGACAGTACGCAATGGAAAAAAATATAAAAATAGACTTTTGTATTTTGGGGGGGGGGGGGGGGGCACAATAATGATACATTTTGCACCGCCAGGGAGCGGTGACGTCACGCAGTGTGCCTAGTGACGTCACGCAGTGTGCATACTGACGTCACCCCCCCCCCCCACCCTCCGCGTATTAATCCAAGACAATAATCCAAGTCCCGGGCGACGCCGGGTAGTAAAGCTAGTACAATATTAATTCTAGATCTAGTACAATATAATTAGAGTCACGTAGGTATACATTTTTATAAATTAAATCACGACGTTTCGGGCGCAACACAAGTGTCCGTCATCAGGTGGGACAACCACAGCAAGAAACAATTGCTGAAGTCCGTGACTTTATCGAAAGAACCCAAGAGTATGGATCCCTGCAGTGACGAAAACTTCAAATCTAGAATATAAATAAGCATTGAGCTTATTCTACTGTGCTGCCTGTCTCGTATGTGGTGTGCGTGTGTGCGTGTGCAGGGAAGAAATTGACATTTTTGGGGTAAAAATGTTGATAATTTCCCTTTAAAAGTCCGACGCTCACCTTGGGGAAGCTCTCGTGGCATAATCGGTCGATGGGATTCTCAGGTTGTTGAAAGTGTCGCCGCTGTTCACGTTCAAGAGAGCAGGGACGACGCAGAATCACACAAACACGTCTGCTCTTCTCGCCGTGCTGGAGTTCTGTGACCGTCACGGGCCTCACGTGACCGTCGTGTCCCTTGGCAACGACCACGATCATCAACATGGCGACATTCAAACTCGGCACGTGGTCCCTCGTCATCGTTACAACGTTGGAGACGCGAGAGGCACGTGGGGGGCACGGGGAGGGGCTCGTGGGGGGCACGAGGGGGGGGGCTCGAGCCATCTCCCCCCCCCCCCCGTGAGTGACCAACCGTCACCCCGTGAGTGACGCTGGTCAACGCGACCGCTGCTGGGTGGGCAGAGGCGGCCGGGGGCGGGAGGGAGAGTGAATACACGTGGCCCCATCGTCTTGACTGTCAGCGAGTTCCTCTGATTCTTATTCTTATTACTATTCCCACCGTGGTCAATAGTAGCTCTGTATCCTATAATGCTGCTCTCTGTTGTGTGTAACGTGCAAGGTTTGCAGAAGTGAGTAACTCTGTGCAGTGTGCTCAAATGTGCATATCATTTGTGACAGCCAGGTCGCTGCTGAAAAAAGAAACTCTACATAGCTCAGTGGGGCCTTACCTGGTAATTTAAAATATAAATACTTTAGTTTGTAATCTCAACCAGCACTGCTTCGCATTGAGCTGCATGCGACTGCACTAGCAGTGGTCTGTCTACAGACACAGGACTCACGAGGTGGCCTTGCAGTCACGTCAGCTCATTTTCCCTCGAGCAAGAGACGACGGTGGTTGACTGTACGGTCCACAGCTTGAGTCGCGCTGTGGCTGCTCTTTAATGTACCTCTCTCTCTGCGAGTCTCTTATGGGTCTCTCCGAGTCTCCATGTAGCACAACGTGTGTGTGGGTTTGCTCTACGGTCCACAGCTTGAGTTGCATGACCACAGTCGCACTCCTGCTGCTGCGTGTTGCGTCTCGTCTCTAATGTTCCATTCGTTGAAACGTGAGCATCGTTCCGTTGATGTTCTGGTGCGGTTCCTGGTGACAGCGGTGTATTTGCGGAGGATTGTCCATGCCAGGAGGTGTGCGGTGGTTGATGCTTGGGTCTCAAACGAGGCGTTCATTCCGCACGTCTGCGCTGTTCCACCGTTCGCTGGCGATCTTCCAGATCTGTGCGAGAGCCACAGCCCCGATCGATCCGAGGTTCATTCACGTACTCGATAGCAGCGATTTCTCAATCCCTTTCGTTCCAACGGGAGACTTTCGAGCTCGCTCGATCTTTACGGCACACCGAACCAAAGGGTCGGTCGTGCTAATTAGCACAACTTTGCGGCGGCACACCGCTCGAGATGCCACGAGGAGGTTGGGGCAGCTCAGAGGTCCTAGCGCCGAGCCGGCGCCACTGACACCGTGGGTTGGAGTGAGGGCTGCAGCCACTGCCTGTGATTGAACCGGGTTCTCGAGTTTAACGAGTGGATGGCTTTGGCCCAGCTAACAATGACTGCACCCATCAAATGTGTATACATATTAGAATCAGGATTTACACCTCATTCGGATAAATTCCACCGAAACATGCAATAAACGCCAATGTCAAAGCGGTGCGTTTAAAGGGAGGGAATGGGAGAGGAGGCCATGGGGGTGACGAGGGCCCGTCAGCAGCATAGAGCTGTGGATGAAGAGGAGAGAGTTGTGTGTGAAGGAGGGAGCTGTGTGTGACGGTGAAGGTGGAAACAATTGACTGGAACCCTTCCCTGTCTCCGCATGTTGGCGAGGGTAGCGTTGGCTACACCATGCAGAACTCTCCGATGTTGCCCCCTGTAATGGGGGATTAGCCGTGAACATTCGTGTGTCCCCCTCTTGAAAGCCTTTTTGGGAACGTGTATTTCTCGTTTTCTTCCATGCAAGAGAGTTGCGAGGTCATATTCGTCGACGTCAAGGATCGGGCAAACCTGCGTCTCCGAAGCCACTTGCAGCTCTTTAAGCGACCGCTTCGTGCCGTTATTTATTAAGGACCCACCGTCTTGTATTCACGTGGCATGGCGGCTCTTGAAATTAAGATAGATGTTTTTTACTATCATTTGCTAAATTAGAAAAATACAACGGCCCGTCCGTGCGGAAAGCGGCGTCCTGTCGCGTGTTAAAAATAAATTGCTCGTGAATTCAAAATTGGTTCCACGACTCGTGACGGCCAAACAGCAGCGTGCTGCCACGCCTGGGAATGACCATCAAGGAGGAGTGAGCAACAGGAGCCTTGCGATGCGACCGTGTCAGCCACCACCACGACGACAGACTCTGCGGGAC